TGAATTGTTTATCTACCACCCTTAAAAAAAGGATAGAAAGTGGATTCTACCTTTGTTTGATTCCTTTTTAATGCTGAGACCTGAGATAAATTTGTATTTTTGTATGTGTAGTTTTTTAATGAGAAAATGAAGCTAGAATATTCCTTTAGAAAAAGGAGAAACAAGTCTGCGCACACTTCCAGAACTGGTGCTTGGTGACCAGTGAACTACTGAAGTTGATTCTGCAAGTTGCAAGAGACTGAAAGTTGAGCACCAAGAAGAGGAAGCATTGTGATTCAGAATTTTTCAAGTGTAGATAGGTCTCCATTTTAAAGAAGACATGAAGATGCAGTATTTTTTGCCATCTTGAAAGGCAGATCCTGTAAAATACAGCAGATCTGTTGGTCTTTGTCTTAAAGCGTAATCTCAGAAATAATTTAGAGTTTCTTTGTTTTTTTTTTTAACTCCACTGTAAAAACAGCATAAACTCTTGCAAGTCATCACTGAAGACATTATAAATTGCTTCAGCAGAAGATAGAATGAAGAGGCACTGCTAGTTTGACAGTGATCTAAAGTACAGGGCTTTATAAAGGAAACTTTATATTAATTGTATGTAAACATATTTAACTAACTGACATTGTATTTGGTGAATTTAAATATTTGTACTGTTTGAAGCTTGATTTACTTGGACACAGAATAAGGAAAGTTAAGGCCATGTAAAAGCAAGTATTTTTATACTCAAAGCTGAGTAAAACAGTTTTTCAACTGTCAAGCTGTCATTTGGCGTTCTGAGGGGTTTTTAAGTTATTTTCATAGTACTGTGTATTCGTTATGCCCATGCAGAATTAAAAAAAAGAAGTATTTTCTAAAAAGAAAGTGTACAAACTAAATCAATAACTATAGAGCAAATAAATGTATATCGGCAGTAAAGTTAAGTGGGCTTGCCTCATGTTCATAATCCAGCTAACTTGCATTGAGACCTCTATTAGCATGTCAAACGTTCTCTGACTGTTTCAGCTGAAAAACATTCAAAATAGCATTGAAAATGGAAAGACGCAACGCAAACTCTTGCTGTAGGTTGTGTAGTGGTTTTCATCGTATATCTTGTACGTTCTCTGATGCTAATAATGAGGACTATGAAGGGGTTTTTTTAGAGTAAGCCTATTAACAGTAGATTTACTACAGTGCTTGCTATGCTAGGGTCTATATTTCCATTGTGGGCATTTCGGAAAGCTTAAAACAACTGGTCTGTATGGATTAAAATGCATGCTACAGGTGTCTAATTAAAAGCTGTATGGTTATTTTAATATAGAATTACTGAGCTCATTATATGACAGGTGGTGCATAACTGATCAGTGAGGATCAAAAGTATTCTTGACCATACCCTTTCTGAGGAAGCCTATTGATTTGTTTCTTGCAGTTGGCTTTATTGAGTTGCTTTATTCAGTGTACAGCCTACCTGATAGTCTTAATAAAATAAGTTTAGTTGAGTAGCCGTATGTTAACTAGATATGTTGGCAACTATCAGGCTCTGTTTATTTACTTCCTATAGGCAGATGGAGGTAAAATGAAGCTGAGATAGTTCAGTGTTCGTAAGCGCAGTAGTTTACAGAGCCAGTTCTGTTTTTTTCCATCTGCTTGGAGCAAGGTAGTATCGTGAGATCCTTACTTTTGGTCTCTCTATAGTATCTTTTTGGTCTCTCTTTAGTATCTCTGTGTAGGTACGTGTGTACTTAGCTTGTATAATACCTGCACTTCAGACTACTTTCTCTCTTTTCTTAGACCCTAGCAAAGTAAGAGCTTTTTGTCTCCTGTGCTATCTGAGAGTCCTTTGGCCCCTGTTAAGATTCGCGCCCTCTCCCCCCACCCTACCCCGCCCACTCCTCCCAAGCAACATTTTTGATTTTATTCATAAGGGAAAGGAATCAATTTGCTTGCTTGCCTCTGCTACTTTTTAGTTTCACCTTTTTCTGTGAAAGTTTATTCTTGCCAGACTTTTGAACAATCTGCAAAGCACTATAGAAACTTAAGAGTAACCATTTTCTCTTCTCTCCTCCACTTTTAGAAAGTCATTCATACCATGTATTTGTAGATGCAGAAATTGCCAAACTGACAATGTACTCCATATTATTTGAAGTATACCTTAACAGTAAAGGCATTCATTTGGTAAACCTTCCTACTTCACCTGCTTGAATGTGTTTTTTTTTCCAGACTACATTTTATTGCACTTAATGGACTATATAAAGACTGTTTCAAACTTTTTAACTATTTTCATAAGTACCTGTGTATATGTTAAGTGTCAAATTGCTAGAGAAGTAGGATGTAGGTTTGTCCAGCGCTCAAAAAGAAATGTACCTAATTTTTTACTCATTAAAATCTTACAGAACGTAGTAGTAGTAATAAACAGATTCTTTCATTGGCCCAAAACATTCCGAGTATATCCGTCTTTGTAATGTGTAGCTAAGAGCTTTGGCTAGTCTAGCCTTTCAAGACTAGGATGATATTTCATTACTACTTCTTGGAGAATGCTGTGAAACTGAAATATCCACAGCACTCTACCTTAGTTAAAGAAAAATGTTTATCATTTAGTCCCAGCAAAACCTTTATTCTACTTCTAGATTTTCTTAAAGCCCTCCAAAATCAATGACAGTGGAAAAAACACTATTTAAATAGACCTTGAAAGTCAGCAGACAGGTTGGAAATGCTCAGAAATGAGTATTATTATTAGCGGAGTTATTTCTTCCACATCCCATCTTCACTAGAGCTTTAAGGATTGGGAAAAAAGATGGAATATAATAACAAAATTGTGGAATTTGTTGGCAGAACATTAATATATTGCTGTGAAGTCCTAACTTCAGTCTTTTTTGATTTTAGTTGTCCTGTGTCTGTTACCATCTTTGGTATATGCAAAAATGGTCACAGGAATTTTGCTTAAAATTTTATGACTCATCTATGGGCAGAAATTAAATGTGGAAACCTTCTACTGGAAAGGAATATATTACAAATATTCAGGAAAAATATATGAAAGTACTAATTTTTAAAATTGGGTTTAATGGTCATTGTCAGCACGATCAGATGATTAGACAGTGATTTAAGCAGTCACGTGGATGAATCTTTCCTGAGGGTTCTTAATGGACATGAATTAGTCTAGAACAAGACTTCTGAGGGGGGTAAAGAAATTGATTTTTAAACTTTATGATATTCCTAGTTTGTACAGTAGTTCAGGATCACCTCAGAACAACCAAACTCTATATATGTAATGCCAATGAAGCAAAGCAGGATACAGAATTAAAGAAAACAATTGGTTACAAACATTTTTGGCCCACGTCCGAAAAAGACGCATGCATCAAATCGTTTTTTCTAAATATCCTGCTAAATAATTTAGAAATAATGTTTGATTATATCTCCAGCTCGAAATCTTAAATATCATGGGTACTGAAATGAATTAGAAGATATCACCCACAAATAATACAGTCATGTGGATTCTGGAGAAAATAGAAAGGTTCAGGAAATGTTTCTGGAAACAAGTAATTTTGAAGATTGTACATTAGATCTTTGATATCTTTGTAGAATCTACTACTGAAGAGAAGAAATTTATATGGAGTTTTGAGATGCAGGTCTGTAAAATATACTCCATTCTCAAAATACCAAGAGAATTGTAGTGTATCTTAGAAGTAAAATATGTAGTTTAAAACTGTATGTGAATTGCACAAGAGGGGTTAGGTGATTTGATCTTTCACTTTCTGTTAATAGTTACAAAGTAAGTTGGCGTGCTTACACTAAGCAATACTATGTTCTGCACTGGTGAAATCATGTCAAGGGTGCTTTGTAAGCATAATATACCATGGCGGGGCTTAATACCCTGTGCCAGTTAAACTGAGATTCAGATCTAATCTTTAAAGGAGTAGCTGTCACTAAGTTGTAATATGACCTTTGTTTTATTTTAAACCAATCAAATTGGTGTGGGTAGTGATTAAGGTAGTGATTTTTTTAATAAACAAAACAACTGAAAGTAAGACATGTATTAGCTTAAATTTTATTTAAACATGAAAAATCTTCTTTGCCTAGAAAAGTGCATTTGTCCCAGACATTAAAGCAGTTAAAGTGGACTAGTTCTTTGTTTAACTTCCTGAATTAAAGACTGAATATTAAATATTTGAATCATTATGAATATGGTTTAACCAGAAACTTGTTTGCATCCAGTATCAATTACTGCCTTTGACAATTGCTTTTGACACAGTGAGATTAACGTCTAACAGTAGTATAACATTTAGCGTATTTTCATCTGTTCTGAAGTTAAGCACAATAACAAAAAGCTAAGACTGAAGTTGGCATTAAACATAACTTTAAAAGACTGTAATTACAGTTTTGTACTTTATAGGTGTTATATAAGCCAAGGCATACACCTTTGCTATCAAAGGTGAGGCTAAAGAATAATTTAATGACTGTCTAGAGTTTTAACTTTATCACAGAAACACATGGTAATTTTCTTCCCATTATTTTTATGTGAGGGAAAAGTAGTAGATGAATATAATGAGAATATGCAAGTGCGTCCATCTGAAAAGAACAGCAGGACGTCCTTTATTCATACTTCATGTTCAATTTCTAATTTCTGTTCTGCTGTGAAATTTAAGTTGTGAAGGAAGTGAGCTGTAAGTGATATGCACAGGTACTTGGAGAATATAGTGCAGAGACTTTTTCAAGCTAGAAATTATTTTTAAAGTTCAGCCCATTGCTAAACTCCTGCAAAGCGTTAAATGTGTTCATTTAATTAGCTAACTTAGGGCACATACAGCTGATAGTTTTCAGAAATTTATGTTTTGATAAGTAATTCTTGTGATTAATAGGCTTGGTAAGGGATGAGCAGAATTCTGTTTTCTTTCCTTTCTCATTCATGTGTTTGGTTAATAGAGAATTGCAGTGAGTGTTTTGAGTGCCTGTCCAAGATTTTGTCTGATTTACTTAGTCATCTTGCGAGCATTTTTCCGTCAATGAATAGTTACGTTTCAGTAATCATGTAATTTGAACTTTGCTTCATATGCTTTCTGCATGTCTTTTATTATTCACGTGTATTGTTTATACAGCCTAATGGACGGTCTTTCCTTGATGCATCTGAGGATGAAATAACACAGACTACTCGTAGAGAAAATATAAAGCAGCCTTTGGATGCAGAAAAGAAGAATGAGAAGGTCAGTTATGGATTTGAAATGGCAATATTTCAAAGTTGAATGTGTATTATTTCAGTATCTGGAAACCCTACCTGTGATTTGAAATCCTTTTTCTTACATCCATGAGGAGACATCTGTCTGTCTTTGAAGAGTACTAACCTAATTTGGTGCTTGAAAGAGCTCAAGTAGTATTTTTTCAAAACTCTGAGTTCATGCGTTATCATGGAACATGTGCATGAAGCAAAACAAAAAACACTGCTAAAGGCAGAAATCTGTTCACTGTGTGAAAACATTAAGTCTACAGAAAGTAAGTTTGTGTTTCATCTTTGCTGACTTCTGTGGAGATGCAACATAATAATAGTATTGTTAAGGGGCTTGTAAATGATACAACAGCTGAGGGACCGCTATTCAAAGAATAAGACCATGTTCTTGCCCATTTCTTTTGTCGGATCTAGCCATTAGTGAGTTCTTAATTTCTGGTGACAAACAGGGGCTTTGAAGTCTTGCATCAGCTTTTTTTATGCAAATTAAACAGCTACCTTTAAAAATCTTCAAGACTGAGTCTGTAGCTTTATCTAAAATTTAACCATATTGATGGCAATGTGATATTTTTACACTGTGAGGACTGACTTCTTTCAGCCTTATCGTAAATGCTGTCACTTCTAGTCAACATAGATATATCTATGATGGGTTTGTGACCAACACTGATTTTTGTCTTGACTATTTTGCTAACATTATGCATAAAATTTTCCTACTGGCATGGATTTATGAAAATAGACAATGTCCTGGTCTGTGCTATAATGAAGACTGGGCTGCCAGTTATGTTCTGGTAAAGATTGCTGCATTGTTTTCTTCTTATTAGCCATGATAAAAAAGTTTTCCTGTCAAGAGCCTTTGAATATGCAGATTTTTTTTTTTCCTTTTGACAGATGAAGGAACTTAATTAAAACCATTTGGTATATTTGAGGGTTAATTAGTAGAACTGATTTATTCTTGTCACAAAGTTCATTTGCCATAAGTAAGCTGAGGAGTGTTGGAAAGAGAAGCAATTCTGCTTATACAGTGAAACACCAATGGCTTGTTGTTTTTGTAATTCACTTGAACTTCCATTAACTTACTTGAGTAAACTTTAGTTATTTTTGCAAGTTAGTATGTTGGCTAACAGACTTTATCCTGTTAGTTGGCTGTAGGGTTATAGGAGTTTTTAGAGGCTTAAATTGGCAAATAAAGACTTCTCTGTGAAATGGCTTTGCCTTAAACTTTAATGCTGCCCACTTCTTTCTATTCTCCATGAAATACATATCAGATTTATTCTGTCCTTGACAAAGCACAAAGTCAAATGTGATCCTGAAGGAGTATAGTGTATAATTTTTTTTCTTCTCAGCTTTCACTGTATCTTAAGCAGATTTCCAAGTAGCTAAGATGTTAAAATGCTAAACTCTAGCCTTAGCTTAAGATTGCAAACGTGGTAATATGAATTTTGAAATGCTAAATTGAAGCTGCAGCTCCAGGAAATCAATACCACTGCATGGGTATGGATGCTCATTCAACAGATTATATGTTCACATCACTTTGGGGAAGCATGGACAGAGCATGTTTGCTTCAATTAAGAACAACCCCAAGGACTTTCTTTAAGCTTTATGCAGGTAACTTTATAGGCTTTAATTATTTGATTAAGCCACTTATAGCATCCATTGCATTTGTAACATTATGAGCCTCCTAAGGTTCTAAGGGGTCCTGTGTAGGTGTTTGCTCCCAAGCAACACAAAGAACATAAGTGGATGGGTGGGATTTAGGTAGTGTGTGTGTGTATAGAGAGGGGTGTGTGTGTGTGTATATATGAAATAGCTATGATCTGAAAGGTATGATTTTTTTCACTTAAACATACATTTTCAATGAACGTAGCGCGCGCTTTGTGTTTCTGCATTGCCTTGCTGCTTCGGGGTTGTAAGTGTCGTGTGTTTTTCAGGACGTTTATTTATTCTAAGATGTATCCTATGGATCTACTTGGAAGGGAAAAAGGTTTGGGAAATGTCAGGATTGTGGCTGTTCGTATGGTATATGGTCTCATCATGTCTCTTGGCATTTTGAATGGGCTCTTTCCGTTTTGCATTTTTGTACCTTGAATAGTGCAGGGTGTGCTTTGGGGGTTTTTTGTTTATTTTTCTTTGTTTTTTTTATATATTGAACTGTTTTTCAGAAGTGATTCTCTGGCTGCAATTGCAAGATCTTAAAACTTCATTGCAAATTCTGTTTGCAGCTACACAAAACTGCATTATCTTGAATACTAGAAATAAGCAGACTATTAGAGATGAGGGAGAAAGGCTTATTTTTATATTGTTTGTTCCTGCATGGAGGCCAGTGCATCTGATAGAGTTTAAAATTCTGGCCGGGCTGATGATTCCTCATGTGTGTTTTGGCTGGTAGCAGAGCCAATGCTGGCATCTTTCTATGCTGCAGAAGGTGATTGCTTTGAATGAATGGCTCTGTTGCAAAGTGATGGGCTAGTTTACTTAGTCACCTTACAAACAAAGGTCTTTGTTTCTTCAGTCAGTTGTGTTATGGAGATAGCCAGGGAAGCGTTGCAGCGGTAAGTTGGGCTGGCAGGTGATGAATAAATTAAAAGTACCAAGTTCCAGTAACTCATGTTAGGAAAACAAATACTTGAATTCCTGATCTTTTTTAAAAACAGTGCTTGTTATTAAGAAAATTATTTTCAAAACTATCAAACTTTATGTAGCTTTAATGAAAAGTGTCCAATTTGACATCAGTACTTTTGAAGAAGTTAGTTATATAAGAAACCGTAGAGTTACAGCTTGGAGGAGCAGTCATCTGAGAGTTCTCTGACAGACGTCCAAAGTAATTGCTGAAGTTCTCTTGACATCAAAGAAGGAAATTTGAGTAGTTACGGTTTTATGGTCAGAAGATTCTGAGACCTCAACTTCCATCATGAATATAGCAGAGAATAGAAGGCCTAGGTACAAATTCACTAAGCTCTAATTAAGTAATGGTTTGCTGCAAGAAGCAAATCATAACTTCTTAATGTTACCTATTGTCCTTTTTAATTTTGTATTAAGAAGATAGTCTTACAAATTGGTGTGCTTATTCATATGCTTAAAACCAACTCTGTTCAGGTTGATTTTGAAACCAGCTGCTGCCTTTTGAGGGCATTTTGGAAGTTACATAGTCAGTATTTGGGTAAAGGTAGCTTACTGAGCAAATACGTGAGCTATGTCAGTTTGGGTCTGTCCGTGTTGTGTGATAGCCTTAGTTCAGTGAGCCATGAGCTAAGTCTGTTCCAGTAAGTTCTGTAAGTGCTGCAGGTGTGTTGGTGCAGCACTACATATAAACAGTGAAATCTTTTTTTCTTTTTTTAGTTCTGGTGCTGCACTAACAAAACTGTACCTCTTTCAGTTCCTGTGTTGAAGCGGTATGATACGTTTTGGTTATGCTAACTCAAAAGCATGTAGACTACATACCACCATGGTACCCACAGGATTTCTGCTGCAGCTGTGGTGGCAGTTCAGCTGTTACCAATTCTAAATCTTAGAGCATGTCATACTCTTCTTGGACATCTAAGGCCAGCAAATCATAGAGTCTGAACTCCTGTAAAAAGCTGGCTATTAACCATCCCATTGTTACCAGTCTTACTCTGGTATTAGCATGTATTCCAAAGGGAATCCAGTGTTGTCACAGAGATAGTAAGATACAGTGCTTCCCCTTAATGCGTTTGAGTAGATCACCATCTTTCATTAAAAACTTCTGTTTTTCTCATTCAGTTCTGTCTGGTAATTCTTACACCTTTCTTTTCTGGATTTAAGTTTTTTAGTACTGTATTTTCTTTCTAAGAAGGTAATCAAGTCAATTTGCCATCATACTAGCTTATCAGAAGGTTAAACCGCAAGGCATTCTGTGATATAAGTCATCTCAATTCCTTGGATCACTTTTTATACATCATCTTCTGAACCTCATCTTTTTAACAAGGTATATTACTACCTGTTGCACCAAAACAACTTGCAGAAGTAAATTAATCTCTTCCTATTCGTTTATCTCTGCTTGAATAGCCAAGTTGCAGTAGCTGGGGATAAGCTGAAAAAACTGAATTTACACTGTAAATTCTCATGACTGTTCCTGTTTCAAAGTAATTTTTCATGCTGGAGTCCTCTTCCCATTTCTTTTCTTTTTGCTTTTTTAAGCTGTCACTGACATTCTTTGTTTCTCGGTGTATAACTTCCCTCTGTACAAAACAGATTTTGCCTGAGCGGAGTCTGTCTGTGAATCAGTTCATATTCCTCTGATTGTGGTTGCCATCCGTATAGCTTCCTCCATGCTCTGTAGCATAAGTACTCATTTCCCTCACCTGCCATTTGCATACTGTGTAATTCTTCCATGTTACTTCAGAAGTCCTAATTTATATTTACGAATCCGTGTTGTCTAATATTCCTTTCATTTTAAAGGGACTATCTGTACAGAGGATTATTCAGGGATTTCTATTTTAAATTTCCTTCTATTTTTTGGAAATTCTACATCAGTGTAAGTGATCGATAAGTAATTATTAAGATAATGTTTTATTTTTGTTCTAGTCAAAGAAAAAAAAGAAGTCAAAGGGAGATGCTAAAACGGTTCAGGATATGTCACGTCTAGATGGAAAGGAAGTTGATGAAGGTACTGAACACACACACAAAAATGCAATCAGACATATTTTGGCTTAAATAAATGCTATTTAAAAGTTGTTTGTCTGTATGTTTCATAATGGGAAACTCATTTTATCTTAACTCCACAGTTGCATGTTATACCTGGAAATCTGACTTTTGAAACAAAATATACCACTTCAACTATTCTCTTACAGTTAAACCTACAAAACGTGAGATAAGTCATGAATAATAGGGCCCTCATGTTGTTCATGTTTTGCTCAGTGAAGCCAAGTACTGTTGCATTGCATCCCTAAAAACTTAATCTTCAATGAATTGCTCGTGTTTTCATACTACTGTTGAAGTTGAGACTGCCAGGTCTGTAATTTTTAAATAAGTTGAACATGGATTCAGACTTCAGTTTGGTCCGAAATAAACTCTTCCCTTTCTACTCTCTAACTTATTTGTGGGGATATTTTAGGAACCTGGGAAACTAAAATCAGTAACAGAGAAAAGCGACAGCAACGTAAGAGAGACAAGGTATTGACTGACACTGGCTCAGGAGAATTGAATCTCCAAGGAGTGGAAAATGCAGTTACTGTATCCATTGAACAACTGATGCCTACACCATCGCTTCCAGTCGGTCTCAGAAAAAATAAAGGTATGGTAGAGAGAGGTGTGGAAGAATACTAGAAAGATAATGTCTTTTCAATGTATCAAGTAGTGACTTTGTTTGGATATACTCTAGATATATAGGGAAGGTGTACTCTTGAGAAATTATTTCAAGTCATTTAAAGATACTTTGAATCATGCAAAACTTTTTTTTTTCTTCCCCATTTTCTTTTTTAGCTAAGCTTTCAGGGAAAGCTCCAAAGAGAACACTCTGGAATAAGTGGTTGAAGCACTGGCCTCCACACTAGTGCTCTCTGAATTGAGACACGATATATTGGTAGCTAGGGTTGCACAGGCATATGCCCCTACTCCTTCATTTGTGCTTCTCCTGATTCTGCCTTTTATGTTTCTGGAGACTTCAAAGGCACCCTCAGCACTGCTGCAGGCAGCACCAGCTCCTTAACTCTGTTTTCTGAGAGCTTGCTTGCAGGAAGGTTATGCATGAGTTCTCTGTTTTTTCACGTCATTCATTGGTTTAACCGCTTTAACACATACATTTTTGATGCATTTAGATGCCTCAGCATCTGATTTATCAGCACCTGTGCTAAACTTGTTCATAATAGTCAGGCACATCTGACAGATTTAGTAACCAATTATTATAGCTAAGGAGCAACTAAGGAGTTGCAAACTTGAGTTTTTATGGCTGCTACTGTTTCAGAATAGTCATTGGTTGGGTTGGTTTAAACCATGTGTAGGTACAGCAACTCCTATTTGGCTGCAATTGAGAAATAGTTTAAGAAGCTAAAAGAATCTAAAGACACAGCCAAACAGTTTAGATTTTTCATGTAACTTTAACCTATTGATACCCCTTGGTGCTTTAAGTAGAAGAAACTTTGTTCTAGCAAAGTGGCAAAAAGACGGAGCCTAACTGCTGTCTTCTACCTTGTAACGATATATTGAAAGTTGAATGCTGTAGCTCACTGGTGTTTTTTTACTGGCACTTGGCATCTTTAGTGACTGTGTGGTTCTTGTCCTTGAGGACTAAATTCAGTCATTTTTTGTTCTCTGCCTTTTTACTTATGAACAGCTTCAAGAAATGCATGACTGCAGCTGTTTATATATTCTGTGGCTATCCAGGATTTCTGTAACCTCTCTAGACAAGAGTCCATAACACATCATGCACTCCTATAGATCATCCAGTACCAGATTAATTTGAAAAGAGTTCAGCTGTATCTAGGGTTTTCATGGTAAGGTGAAAGTTAGAAATAGCTGTATATTTCAAGGAAAGGACAAGTCTAAGTCTTTCAGAAAATAACATCTGTTTTGGGTTTCTGCTTGCCAGTTCTGGGAAACTAGCTAGAAATCTTTGAAATCCACATTTACTATATTAATAGGCCCTAAATCAGCTTTGAATTCAGTCTGTCTATAAAATAAACACAAATAATAAAATTAGAATGTTTAATTTTATTCTAAAGTTTCCTACGAATGTCTTAATTTACTTAAAGGTATTGCTTTTTTTTCCCCCCCCTTTTTTTTTTCTCCTTAATGTGTCAGTAACAAATACTCTTTTACATGGTTTTTATAACTGTTACTGTTTTCCCCCCCCTTTTTTTTTTCTCTCTGCAAAAACTTACTCTTGTGTTCTCCCGCCTCTTGATCTTGACCAGGTGACGCACTTCTGAATGTTCAAGTTAGCAGCTCTAAAACTGCAAAGGGAGAGTCAGCAATTCCACAAGGTAAAAGCTGTTTGTTACTAGACATCCTAATTAACTAGAAGTGTCATACAGAAGTGAAAACACAAATGGTCAGCGCAGGATGTTGTACAGTTACTGATCTGGAACTTTATTATGCAGCTGGCTCTTCTGGCTATGCAAATGTTATACTTCTAAATTGCAATTGCTTCTTAACAAGTTCAAAAAGTTTCTGTTACGTGTACAGATATGTATAAAATACAGAAAAGAATGATTTGGTATCCAGAATTTTCAGCCAGATTACCTGTTAAACAAATTGTTACTTATACAACAGTGAAGCTTATTCTCAAGCTCCAGTTAAGAATCCTCAGGCTAACCTTATGAACTTGCTCACTTTTTATCACAGAATGGTTGAGGTTGGAAGGGACCTCTAGAGAACATCTAGTCCAACCTCCCTGCTCAAGCAAGGTCACCTAGAGCACGTTACCCAGGAGTGTGTCCACATGGCTTTGGAATATCTCCAGCGAAGGAGACTCCGCAGCCTCTCTGGGCAACCTGGTCCAGTGCTCTGTCACCCTCACAGGAAAGTTTTTCCTCATGTTCAGATGGAACTGCCTGTGTTTCATTTTTAGCCCGTTGCCTCTCATCCTATCACTGGGCACCACGGAGAAGAGTCGGGCCCCATCCTCTTGACGCTTTCCCTTCAGATACTTATATATATTGATCAGATCCTCCCCTCAGTCTTCTCTTCTCCTGGCTCAACAGGCCCAGCTCTCTCAGCCTGTCTTCATAGGAGAGTTGCTCCGTGGAACTGCCTGTGTTTCATTTTTAGCCCGTTGCCTCTCATCCTATCACTGGGCACCACGGAGAAGAGTCGGGCCCCATCCTCTTGACGCTTTCCCTTCAGATACTTATATATATTGATCAGATCCTCCCCTCAGTCTTCTCTTCTCCTGGCTCAACAGGCCCAGCTCTCTCAGCCTGTCTTCATAGGAGAGTTGCTCCGGTCCCTTCATCATCTTCGTAGCCCTTCACTGGACTCACTCCAGGAGCTCCATGTCTCTCTTGTACTGGGGAGCCCAGAACTGGACACAGTACTCCGGGTGAGGCCTCCCCAGAGCTGAGTAGAGGAGCAGGATCACCTCCCTCCACCTGCTGGCAACACTCTGCCTCATGCACCCCAGGATACCATGTGGCCTTCTTGGCCATGAGGGCATATTTGATGGCTCACGGTCAACTTGTCCGTCAGGTCTCCCAGGTCCTTCTTTGCAGAGCTGCTTTCCAGCAGGTCAACCCCCAGCCTGTACTGGGGCATGAGGTTATTCTTCCCCAGGGGCAAGACCCTGCGCTTGCCTTTGTTGGACTTCAGGAGGTTCCTCTCTGCCCAGCTCTCCAGCCCGTTGAGGTCTCCCTGAATGGCAGCACAGCCCTCTGGTGGATCAGCCACTCCTCCCAGTTTAGCATCATCAGTGAACTTGCTGAGGGTGCACTCTGTCCCTTCCTCCAGGTCGTTGATAAGTACATTGAACGATACTGGGCCCAGTATTGACCCACTAGATACAGGCCTCCAACTTGATTTTGCACTGCTGATCCCAACCCTTGGCGTTCTGCCATTCAGCCAGTTCTCAGTCCACCTCACCGTCCACTCATGTGACTTCTGAGCTTGCCTATGAGGATGTTATGGGAAACAGTGTTGAAAACCTTGCTGAAGTCCAGGTAGACAATATCCACTGCTCTCCCCTCATCTACCCAGCCAGTCATCCCATCAGAGAAGCCATTCAGATCCATGCTGACTACTCCTGATCACCTTCTTGTCCTCCACATGCTCAGTGATGACCTCCAGGATGAGCTGTTCCATCCCCTTTCCAGGGATGGAGGTGAGGCTGGCAGGTCTGTAGTTCCCTGGGTCTTCCTTCTTGCCCTTTTTGAAGACTGGAGCGACATTTGTTTTCTTCCAGTCCTCAGGCATCTCTCCTGAGTGCCATGACCTTTCAGGGATGGAGAGTGGCCTAGCAATGACGTCTGCCAGCTCCCTCAGCACTCGTGGATGCATCCTATCGGGGCCCATGGATTTGTGGATGTCAAGTTTGGACAAAAGGTCTCTAACTCGATGCTCCTCGACCAAGGGAAAGTCGTCCTTTCTCCAGAAATGTTATTTGTTTTTCCTAAGAAAACCTTAATGTAAATAACTGCAAAGAGTTCCAAAAATATCAGTCTTGGTTATAATGAAGTCTGTGCTTGCTACAAGTTGTGTGCACATGGGTTATTCAGTTCTTGACATATTGAGCATGTCAACTGAATTGAGAGGCATACTGTAGGTATATTCGTTTTAAGAAGGATCTTTGTCATACACAAAATTGTTAAAATGTTTGGCCGCTTTTCAACTGTGAGTGTTGAATATTAGCAATTTTTTGATGTGAGATACTGATCCAGTAGTGTTTAAAGTGAATTAGTTTGTCAGAATGAAATCAGGATAGTTCTTTCTTATTCATAGCTATATGTTGAGCCAACATTAGTGGTGGTGTTTTAACCTAAAATAGTCTGTGTAATTAAGCAAGTCAACAGTTAACTCGGGTTAAGAGCATCCAGATCCAGAAAGTCAATCACTTTCTGGTAGTTTTCAAGAGATTTGCTCCACATGCAAACTTTTTGAACTGTAGCCCAGAAGGAAGGAGCCATACTCTTCTCAGATGCGTAACGAGAGGACAGGAGGCAATGCTCAAATTGAGCAAGGGAAATTCTGATTGGCTGTGAGGAAGAGAACTCCTCATCGTATTATCCAGAGATACTGTAAACTCTCCAGCCTTAGTGATTTCCAAAACTTGAGTAATGTGGTATAATTTTGAAGTTAGCCCTGTTTTGAACAGGTTATGGGACTAGGTGACTTCTACAGGTTCCTTCCAACCTTAAGTTTCCTGTGATCTTGTGAAATGTCACTGGTTATAGAGGAGGTAAATGTTAGTGATGGGAGACTAGTATGATATACGGAATAGTCAAGCTGTTGCTTCAGGACTTTGGCTGTCTTCTTGAAAGGTCACAAAGAATTTTTTCACCAATGTGTACAGCTTGGTTTCTGTGTGTTTGCAATTTTTGTTGTTGCCTTCACCTAAGGCATCATAGTATCCATAGAGGACACCGAGTGACACAAACAATGTACGTACTGAAGTTGTGTAGAGAAAGGATAGTGCTTTTAGGTGTAGAAATGTTGACTTTATGGGTGTCTGAGTTTGGAAATAGGATTTGTCTACTCAGATCATCTAGGCATACCACACCTAATCATTTCCCTGCCAGTGAGGCTATCTTGGATGCAGCAGGTTCATGTTGCCTGAGCTGTGAATTTATTTGAGAACTGAAATATTTAATCTGACTGTCATTTTTTTGTCATAGCTGTCATAGCTTTTGTTGGCATATGACGTTGACTGCATTATGCATCAATTCTTGATTGACTAAGTGTTATGCCCACCGTACGTAGATATTTCTTAATTAGTTTAAATTGGCAGTTTCTCTGTTGTTGACATTGCGTATTTGAAAAGAGAGGAGAAGATTTCCCCACAAGACCCTAGGATGAGAATTGTTTGTGGTATGTAAATCCGGCTGGGTGTTCTGGGTGATCTTTAGCCTTTACGTTTTGTAAGGACATAAAAAGATGTCATAATGCTCCTTCTACTGTATTACTTGGTGTACTACTGAATCCGCTGAAAGCATACATTAAACTTGCTATGACTGGTAATTCCTCAGTAGGACAGACTGTGGATTAAAAACTTGTGGTCTTCTGCCTTAGTGTAACATAAAATATATTGCTTATAAATTATAGTTTAAGAGAGCTTTGCCATATTTTTTCCTTTGAATTTAATGGACTCTATACTTGAGTATAATAGCTATGCTTTTTGAAAAGTCCCTATAGTGTTTGGGAAGCATTTTCTACTTTTTGATCATTTCTTTCAAATCCTACTTGGAGAACTTCTGAATGCCACCACAGTTAAAAAACAGAAAACATTCTCCCTTTCAGCACATGGGGCTTCCCACAAACAGTTCAGTTGCTTGTTCCCTACCGGGTAAGAGAAAAGTCCTGGCAACGTTGGCCATCTGTCTCCCCCCCACGCTTTTATTATTATTGTTAATCTAAAGGCACTGGTGGCCCCAAGATGCTAGCCGTATAAAGAAGGGGACATAGAGTAGAGTGCAGTTTGGTTGTTGCCTCACTCATCAGGTTAGTAGACAGATGGTGATTATCATCTGAACTGGAAAATCAACTGAGACAGAGCAGCAGATCTCTTCTGTATTGCACTAGTGTAGCAAAGCTGCTGTTCATTTGTCCTTGCTTTTTAATTGTTAAGTATATGTGCATGTACGTAATATTTCAAATCTTCATCCAATTCTTGTTTTACGTAATGCTTTCATAATGCTTTTATTTAAGTTTCTCCAGGGTTGAGTGAAAGCCATACTGTAAATGGAGGAAGCTGGAATGAGAAGCCTGTAAAAATCTCCTCACAGATAGGTGTAGGGGAGGAGAAATGGACATCTGTGTCCTCAGCTACAGCTGGGAAGAGGAAGACTGAGACATCGGCCTGGGGCCAGGATACTGGAGATGCTAATGGAAATGGAAAAGACTGGGGCGTAACCCTGGTGGGCAGGCCCTGGAAAGAGCGTTCTTTGTTCACTCCTATTGGTAAGCTATTCTGAGAGAATTTGGCTTCATTTAGGAAATACAGTTTTGTAAAAATGCTTAGTAGAGAATCTCTTGAATAGCTTTATGCTTATATATTAAAAAAAAAAAAATCTGAGCGGTCTAGCAAACCAAGCATTTTCTGTTTATTGTAAGTTCTGACAGGATGATTTATTTTCTCCACCTCTGATTAGTTATTTAACTGGGGTTTTGGAGTTTATCTGAAGAAAAAAATCTTTCTGTGAAGGAAAGTGATATAAAAATTTGGATTTCTAGAATCCTGATAGTAAATATTAAATCATTTTGAAATGCAACTTTATTTTTTTATAAATTTCATCTTGGAACACAAGTCATAAATCAGTTCTGTTGATACAGCTGATCTTGTGTTTGGTCCAAAATAACAGAGATCTCAGGTTTGTTTAGGCTCTGTAGATGGTGGTTCAGCTCTCATGACAGTCTCTTAAAGTGTTTCACTGTTTTTCCTGTTAGGAATTGTTTTTCTTTAGTCTTCTCTAGTATAATTTTTAAGACTATTACCACTTGTACTGTCATGAATTAACAGGGAGAGGACACTTTGCCTTTTTTTTTTTTTTTTTTTTATTTGGAAAATGCAATTTTTGGCCCAATCTTTAGTTTAAGTGGTCCTAGTTTCTTCTAGGATTTTTTTTTGGTAGTCAGCAGTGTTGCTTTAATATAGATATCTTCCATTGTCCCACACACCTTGAAATGTGGTGCCTGAGGATGCACCTGGTATTCCATTGGAAGCTTTACTATTGCTGGGTAGACCAAAGGTTTGTTTCATGTCCCTGTTAAACTTACTCTGCGTTAATGCAGTAGTTTTTAGTGACTGTGAACAGCTTGAGGTTGTTACGTTACCAAGGGTAAATCATGCTTGACCAGTCTGATTGCCTTCTGGTAAAATGTCTGGATTTGTGGATGAGGTGGGAGCCATGGCTGTTGATTACCTCAACTGTAGTATGACTTTCAACGCTGCCTCTTACGATATATTTGTATCCAAGTTAGGGTGTTATAAACTGGATGACTGAAAAACTAGATTGGTAAAAAGCTGGTCAGGCCCAGAAGGTAGTGGTTAATGTTTCGTACTCTGTGTGGACGATCCTAAGAAGGGGAGTATCAGAAGTGTCTGTGCTTGAACCTGTCCTGTTTGTCATCTTTATCAATGACCTGGAGGTGGTGACAGTGTCACTCACATCAGGTATGCAGATTACCCCAGACTGAGGGGACCAGTTGATACACTCCCGATCAGGGCTGCCATGCAGAGGGGCCTAAAGAGACCAGGGGAGTGGGCCAGCAGGCACTTCAGGAAGTTCAGCAAGGATAAAAGTGCGAAGCCTTGCACCCAAAAAGGAAGAACCCCCAGCTGGGGACTGACTGACTGGGGAGCAGCCCTGTGGGAAAGGGTCCTGGTGGACAGTGAGCTGAACATGAGCCACCAGCAGTGGTCTGGGCTGTTTTGACAGGAGTCAGTAGATGGGAGGCAGTGATTATCCCCCTCCGCTCAGTGCTCATTAGGCTCCATCTGGAGCATCCAGTTTAGGGCCCCCTATTACAGGTAGGACATTGATCCGCTAGAGCAAGTTCAGCAAAGGGCCACCAAAGTTATCGAGGCTGGAGCAGTTTCCACTGAGGAGATGCTGAGAGAACGAGGCTTGTTTAGCCTTGAATCGGTAAGGCTTCAGAGGGGCTGAACAGCAACTTGCTAGTACCTGTGATATGTTACCCAGAAGACGGAGCCAGGCTCTTCACAGTGGTGTATGGCAGGAGGACGAGAGACAACGGACACAAATTGAAACAAGAGGTTCAGGCTGGAGAAAGGAGAAACTTATTCCCCATGAGGACTGTCAGGTGCCCAGAGAGGTTTTGTGTTATCTTCATCCTTGGCGATTTTCAAAGCCCAACTGGATAAAACCATGCAACCTGGTCTGACCTCAGAGCTGACCTTGCTTTGGGCGGGAGATTGTACTAGAGAGCTCCGGAGGTCCCATCCAGGATGATATATTCTGTTTGCAGTTCACTGTAACCCCAGTAGTTTTTTGTTTAGAGCAGCATTCTAATCAGCTGTTGCTTTGGACAAATTTTTGTAACTGATTAGTTCTGTTTATTTTTCTACCTTATATTTAATGTTCAAGTGTATCTTAATTTTTAATCAGTTTCTCCTCTTTGTTACAAACTATTCTGAAGTGAGTTCTGTTCTTCGACATATTTACAACTTGCTCCAAGCCAAGTGCCCTCCACAGAGCTAATAAATATGCTTTTTAATAACATAGATAATAATGGGGAAAAAAGTAACAGTGTGGGGCTCAAAATACAGTCTACTTCTCCTTTGCAAGAAGTTTATATAGAAATGGTTATAGAGGGAGAAATATCTTAAAGCTGAAAAATAGTTTCACATTGAATGTTCATACACGTATACCTCTATCAGCACTGTTTGTCACTTAAGTGAAATAATGCCATGCCATCAATTATGTGAAGTGTTGTTAATATGACTGGAGCTTCTTCTGTTTTTCTGACCCTATTCATCATTAAATAGATAACTTTATTTTCAACATTGCCAGCAGTGGAAAGTTAGCTTTTTCTTTCTTTCTTTTTTCTTCCCCCCACAGCTGCTTGGAATGTGGATGCAAGGATTAATACCTCTGAACAGAATTCTGCTTCCTTCTCTTCATTTGGATTAACTCCTGGAGTTTCTGGTATGTACACCTTTCCAAAGACTTTTCCCCTTGCTTCTCCCTCACCAGGAGGAAATAGAATTTTCCAAGTGTTATTAATTTGCATCTTTTCCATTGTTCTTTAATAGTCTTGCTAGCTGTAAACAAATTGAAGGCGAGTTTTACAAGAGTTTGGAAAGGATTTTTTTTTTTGGTAGTTACATTCAAATTATGTAATAAAGTCAGTGTTTTACATTCATAATCAAGAGCTAAATCAGAAGATGATACTTCCAATCCTTTTTCATATGCTTCCTGTTTGTCTGTTCAGCCTAAATGATGGGCATAAGGGAATGCTCAGTAATTGCTTTGTCTCAAATAGAAGTTCTGAAGTTTGTTTTCTAGGAAAGTCTTATTTATTCTGAACCTTTTTTTCATCAAGAAATTGAAGCACTACTTTCTAAATATGTTCCTTAGGCAGGATTTGAACTCCTGAGTCTTTGCTCTGTAAGATGGAGGAGAAAGCTGAACGCTGGGCTTTTTTGTTTAGAAGGGTGAAATTGATGTGGAGTATGAACCTGGCTTCCTAGTAATTCTTGCATGTTAAAACTACTGACATCCTAAGTGTTACAGCAATCTATTAGAGAGCGTGTCAAGCTTTCTACTCTTGCTTTGTTGGCAAAGTGCTTATGTGCTTAAAGCTGTGCTTAAAGCTATGCTTACTAGCTGTTATTGCAGTCCATAGTCTCTTAACTGAAACTAGAGCTCGGTGTCCTACGGCTCGCATTAGTACTTCGTTTTCTACATGCGTGTTGTGCCAGTACAGTAAGTAAGTTGTATATGCAAAGGTATAATTTATCAGACTTTCCAAGGAACTGACAGCTGTTCACTTGAAGACTGACAGAAAGCTTGTTTTAAAGAACAAGAAGTAAAAAAGAAGCCTTACTTATACAAAGAGTTTTAATATGGAAATTTACATTTCCTAGGGGAGCCATTTAAATTCAAGTTCAATCTCTGGGCTAAAACTTAAAAAATTGTAGTAAATAAAGTGGGATGACTTGTTTGAGATTTATTTCCAATATTACCACTGCTACCTTAATTTAGAGAGAAGCAAGCATAAAGACAGTGGAGAATATTCGTCATCTTGGCACATTAGCCAACGATGTTGTGATGCAAAGGGACCCTTTTTCCCCTTTTGCAAAGGTGTTTTTAAAGTGGGGAGACCCAAATAACTATGTTCCTATTTGAACTTTGCTTCAAAAATAAGTCTCGTCTTAGTTACATATTCATTTCTTACATTGGGATCTTGCACTTAAGTTCTTGTGATTTTTGTCCTTTTTTCAATGTTGTTTTTGTTTCATGATGCCTTATTTTTCAGATGGTCTTAAAATAATGATATTAGATGTCTAGTACTGCATGTTATCCTGGCTGGTATTGACCTTACTGTTGCTTGTCATGCGTCATGCTGTTTTTATGTTCCTGAAATGTTTTACTTGAGAATTCGATGTTTTCTTAGTAATGAATAATTTAATGCAGCGTCATTCATCAGGTTTCTGCCTAGTACTCTGGGTGGTTAGGTTTTGGATTTTTGTTTGGTTGTTTTTTAGCTACTCCCTGTAAGAATCCCTACTGGTATAGGGTAAATAATTTTACTACCCATAAAAAGTCATTGTGCTTTCCAGTTTAAGGAGACTGCTGTAAGCCTTATAGAATGCTGTTGTTTAACTTTCTTTTGTAATCCTCCTTATCTATGTTGTTCTTCTCCTGATGTATCCTTTTTCTTATCCTTTTTTCCCCCTTTTCCTGTTCTTCCCTGACTTAACTTTGCATCTTTAATTCCCTTGTTTTCTGAATATATCTCATTTTGAAGAGCTTTGTAGATTTCCTGTCCTTCTGTTTAGTCGTTAGAGTCGTACTTTGTTCTTTGAGCCTTCTATTTTCCTTTCTTATTTTGCTTTGAATTTCGTTACCCAGGAAATTTCAGGATTTTTTTAACTAACAAATACAATTGTATTTATTCACTTCCAGGATCCAACAGTGAGTCAGCTTCTCAGACTGGTACTTCTGATTTTCAGTGGGATTTAAGTCATGCCCAGCCCCCTGTTGATGATGAATGGTCTGGGTTAAGTATGTTCCTCTAAAATATTCATAAACAAAAATTGTCATTTACATCTCCTTAAAGTATAGTTACTTCTTTTAGCTACTTGCGTTAGCCAGTTGCTAGCCTCTAAAGAAAGATGTTAAGCAGTAATTCATTATTCAAATCAGTAAATTTTTGCATATACTATCCAAAGTAGAGGTATTTAGGTAATATTTTTACATAGAAGGGAGAGATGGAAAAGTGTTCTAAGTAATCGTAAAATTTTTGGTTTCAGAATGTTTGCCTGTAAATGTAATTGGGTTTATTACTGCTTTTTAAATTTGTTTAAAATGAATCCTACCACATTTGCAAACCGAGTTTGCATCTTCTCCCTCAGTTTGGCATAGATTGAGAGTAAGAAGTATTTGTGATGTCTTTTATTTTGCGTTTGTAGTATCTGTTACAAGGTGTTCAGTTTTGAAACGAGCTGTCTGTAACTTCGATGTTGTCATGAATGACAGATTTAACATGTCAGCTAGTAAAAAGTATGCCATAATAAGTGGATGCTAATGGCAAAACAGAGTAGGGGCTTACAGAGTCTTAGAGAAAAATAAGGTATTTAAGAATGTCAGTGTTACTGAGCCAAAAGTCGTCCTGTAAGTTTTACATTTGCAGATACTTCACTCATAGAACTCATACCGAAAGGAAGATTAGTCAGTGTTATTCACAGTTCATCTTGGTTCCTTCACAGCTAGGAAGGAAAGCTTAAGATAGAGAACAGCTCTTAAATTTGTCCGTCTTTACATAGTCTATTATAACGTCTCAAAGCAATTAAGTCAAGCTAGCTGCTGCTGTAACTAGTTCGTAATCCCATTGCTCTTTAAAATAGCCCAAATTTACTATTACTTACAAAGAGTCCTTAACTTGTTGCTAAAATCTTTATATTTTTCAGAAATATGGCAAATGAGTATTTTGTATATTGATCTCAAGATATGGTTATTTGCATAGCTTTCCTCCTCAGCTGTTAAGAGCACCATTAGAATAAGTAGGAATTCCTGAAAATCTTATTAATCTTTGCAGACGGACTGTCTTCAGCTGATCCCAGCTCTGACTGGAACGCACCAGCAGAAGAGTGGGGGAATTGGGTAGATGAAGAAAAAGCTACATCTGTTCCACAGCCTGAAGAGACATCATCAGATGTTCAGAAGGTAAAGGCAGTATTTTCCCCCGAGTTCCATAACTTCATCCTTATTACTACCTTTTCTTAAAATGACTTAATGATGATGATAAAGGGCACCTCTCATCTCTGTTACATTCATAAAAACAGCACAATTATGTTCATGTGTACACAGAGAAGGAAATGCTGAATATTCTTCTTGAGGGAATAGAATCCGTTCTTCTCTGAGCTCCATGTCAAATTTTGCTGTCTCAACATAACGTATTACCTTGTTGTTGTGTACTAAGAGGGGTTTTAGTTCTTTCTGCATAATTGCTCTTTAATAATATTTCTATTGTGAATGAGAAAAATACTATTTCCATGATACCAGCTCCATTACCTTTTTCATTCCCAACTCCTCTGTTTCCAGATAGTGTATAAAGGAAATAGTCTTTGTAAAATGAACTGAACAGATATAATTGTATTCACTTAAACTTCAATATGTCATTAAATCCCTTATAGCTATTACTTTTAGACTGTAGTTTCTTTGTGCTTCTAAATGTTAAATCCCTTATATTCCCCTATGAAGGCTTCAGATAATGAAAGAGACAAAGCAGACCCACTTCAGAGTTCGGCAAGTGGGAAATCCAAGAAAAAGAAGAAGAAAAAGAAGAAGCAGGGTGAAGAGGCTAACTCTCCTGCACAGGTAAAACCTGGAAAGCTTATAAAGCAGTTTGTGCAGAATTCACAAAATGGCTTTATTTTTTGTTTAATAGTGACTTAATTTCTTTGTGGTATTGGATTAGTCTACTGCTATTCTGCAAGAATTAAAGTAATCCTTAAAGCACTTAACTCTCATGAGTATTTTCTTAATTTTAAGTGATCCCTGTCTTACTTGTGAACACAATATGGTTGGATTTATCGAAATAACGACATATGAGGAAAGAGTTTATCCTAAATTATTTATGCTGTACCAAATCAGGATTTTGTACCACAGGAATACCACTAGCAGCAACTTTTTCCTTTGCGTGGGGAAAAAGTCCTCTCATGTCTTTTTTTGAAAGACAGCCTTCTTGGTGGGCATAGCTGGCTAGGAGAAGGAGAGAAACTGAAGTTCTCTTTTTGGCTGTCTCAAACACAATTGCACTAGGATATAGTGGCTTTTTGAAGTACTGTTGCAATTTGATTTATGTGGAATTTTAAGTGTCAAGGCCTCATAGCTCAGTAGATAAAACTATTTTGTGTAAGCGAGATCTGAGCAAGCTGTTGTTTGCAAACTGAGGATCGTTGGAGTCTGTGTTACTTAAATGGTTAGCAGCTTGTGAAGAATCACTTCAAGAGAAATAGATTTATTGTAAACATAGCGAAAGCAGATTACACTTTGCTTGCAATTGAATCACGGTTTAATAGATCAGCAAGTACTTTCCTAATAGAAAAAAGCTTATAATAGTTTACCCTCAGAATACATATCTGTATTTCTGTGCGTAGTTAGCAGCTGTTGGTAACTTGTATTCTTTACAAAACATTAGCTTCTCAGTTGAATCTGACTAGGTGAATTGGAGGGAGGAGGAAAGCATTATTTCAGTTATGCTTGTTTTGGATTTGTTCCTTGTGATTTAGAGTGTCTTTGATCTGGGAGACTGTAAAGTCAGTGTGAATTTTCAGTATTTCTTTTAAGGTGAGGAGGAAGAGAGGATGCTAGGACTGCAGTACAATTGCTTTTTCTCATTGAAATCTATCATGTTCTGATATCCATCAGTGGCCGTAGATGTAAGTCATGATTAATAGGTTGTGGTTAACGAGAGTTTTCAGAAGTCTTGTATGGGTCTTCAACTTAGCAAGTGAAATCTGAAATGAATTTTTTTATTGCCTGTAAACTACCTTTTAAGCTGTATGTGTCAAATAAAACCTGCTGTCCAAAATAATATATCAGGTTCATTTATTCTACCCATGGGTCTCCCTTGGTTCTGATTTTGAGTTACCTTTTTCACTCACCACGTTAGCCTAAACAGGAAGGTGAACGTTTGTTTGTATTAAATTTTTAGAGAAAATTGGGGGTGTTGCTTCACCGGAACAAACAAAACAGCTAATACATTACGGATAGGTTGTCCTGTTGTTACAGCAAGTTAATCATTTAACTTGCCAACCCTACTTCAAAATTCGTTTTAAACTTGTGTATTTATACTCTGAAAATTGAATAGGTTCATATAAATAACATCTTACAAATTGATTACACTTTTGTTTGCTCTCGTGTTTGTTTGAGTGGAGTGTCTGTCAAGGCAGTAGAAACTACTGTCGGAGCTAGATAAAAGGCAAGATATAGTCTTTGCTCTTGGAAATCAGTAGACTTGGACTTTCACTGCATTTGCACAAGATTCCGGGGGAATAATGAGAGAAAAGAAGCAGAAGAAATTTCCGGCCTAAAACTAGAGATCTGTGTTTCATTTACTGTGCCACCACAGGGTCCTTCTGGTGCTTTAAACTAATGCATCTACTCTGTACTTCCTCGTGTAAAATAAAAACTTTCCCATCATAAGAGTGTTTAAAGACTAAAGATTGGGACTCTTAGACACTTTGGAAATTTTTTCAGCTTGCATACAGAAAAGTTAGTTTTACAGGCATCACTGAAGATTGAATTGAGTTGCAGAATACTTACTAAAGCTTAATATGATTAAAAGCTATACAGACAGTTTAAAGGTTGCATTAAAAATTTTATTATTAACCAAGCACAGAACTGAGAAAGCTCAAATCCCTTCGTGATACTTTTACGACTTTTTTAGGCTGAATTGTTTAATTTCTCACGCTTGTAATTTCACGTAAGCATAAAGTGCGGTGCGTTCTGACATTTAGGGAGCTTTTTTGTTAAATAGCGGGAAGAGTATTGCTTTCTGGGTTTCTTTGGCCTCTACAGGTATTTTTGTATTACACTGTGGAAATTCTGGGTGTTAGCTGACTGTATTAGTCCCATACTTTGTAGCTTTTTTTTTAGATTGCTTTTTTTACAGTTACTGAGGCAGATTATGGCATGAAAACTGATCTGGAGGGTGAAGAGTCAGAACTTTTTTACTAATCCAGGCTCCTGTTTTTTACCTCTTTTGTAGGACACTGAAGAACTGGATAGGGAAGCTGGAGAAGAATTTCTGGAGGATACCTCAAAAGCTCAACCGCAACAGGAAATAGCTTTTTCTTTGAAGACCATAAGTACTAGTGAACCAGCTAAGGTAGATATAAAGAAGAACTGGGTTTATATAATTTCCAGTTTTGAAGTCTTAAAGGTCTGTTGAAGCACTAACACTGTCTATGAAAATGTTGCAGTGAAGTTACTGCTTCAGGCTACATGTTTATGAAGGTGATTGGGATCTTGAATTTTAGATACTAAGTCAGTTACACTGAGTTTTAAAAAGCACATCCTCTCTGAGAAGCAGTATTTTCTAAATTTTCTCATGACTGGCAACTTATTTTCGGGTTTGAATACATAAATAATAGTTTAAAATTTTGAGATCTGGAGAGCTAAGAACTAATAGCTCTTGAGAGTAATATCTTACTATATTTTATTTTTCATTGCAACAGAATGAAGGGTTAACCCAACTTTTTGTGTTCTCCCTTAAACATGGTCTGAGTTTGAATTTTAGTAGCTACGCTGAACTTAATGTTAACGATCGAAAAATAAAAGTTTTTGCTGAACCAGTTCATACACTGACCGTTTGCTTCAGCAGGCAGTTCAAAGATATTCTAGATAATGCAAGCTCTCTTTCATCTTTCTCCAGTCAGAAGGTTCGTTAGCTACTATAATTCTTCATGAATCACATTAGAAAAATTAAATATTTTTTCCTACAGTGGTATTGGTTTAATCTTCCATAAAGAGTAGGTAATACGAGTGAGACAGCAGTTTGGCATCACAGAGCATCTGTCAGAATACTGAATTTTACGTTTTTACGTAATAAAGCCTGAGTAATTGAAATAACAAGTCTTAAGGTTCAAATGCAGAGGTCTTAAAATGGAATCTTTTACCAGATGCTGCAGATCACCAAAGAAAATGTATGGAAACTTTTTCATAAAGCTTCTCTTCCTTTTTAAAGGAGAACATATGCCTGGAAAAGTATATTCAGACATATTTTAGCTTTTTCTAAACATCTTGCATGAAAATATAGCTTTAATTATGGTTATTCAGTTTAAACAAGTTGGGCATCAGCTACCTATGCTGCCTGACCAGTGAAAAGTTTTGCTGAAATTGTTTGGAGGGAATAAAATACCCAGATTTTAATTGTGCTATCGACGTTCTCTCTTTTTACACATCTAAAAAGATGTGTACTGGTGTATCGCAAAAGGTCACCTTTTTCTCCTGAATTTATTAAGAGCTGAGAAGTACTTTACTACTACACGTACAATAATTTTTTCTGCAGATGGATCTCTTTTTTTTTTTTTCCCCCACGAAGTATTAGCACAGCCAGAATATCAGCTCAGTCTTGGTAGACTTTGTTCACAGTTTTTAAAACCAGACCCAACTTTATAGGTGATTTGATGGCATCAACTCTTACATAGACCTATGGAGTGTGTTAACTCTTTGGAGTGGAGTGCTCCTGTTGCTCTGAGTCTTAAAATTGATCTGCCCATATAGGTTGAACTTTTGTAAAGCTGTGTTATAGTGACATGTTTGTGAAACAAGATCAGATCAGTGTTAAACTTGTCGGGGAGGAGGGTGGGAGGGAAAAACTATTGCTAATGACATTCCCTAGAAATTAGTTGGGCTTGATAAGCGAAAAGGGTGATTTGTGAGCTGTTGCATCTAACAATGCAGGTGGTCTGTCCGTCATTATCAAGTCTCCTTGCCATCAGTCTGCTTTACTACAATTTTACACAGGCAAAGATGTCTTCTGATGTTGTTTGACCTGGCTGTTCCAACAAGTTTTAGAAACAGCAGTCAGTTACTAGTGCCTGAAATTGATGACTTACAAGCGTCTAAAGTAGGTAATACAGTTTTGGACAAATGCTGCAAAACAGGAGAATCAAATATGAGGAAAGAGAAAACTGGCATTAAAGTACAAATAAGTTGTTATCTAGAATATCCTAATAAAGAACAGAAACAGGTGAATATTGAGCCCTTCACCCCCTGTATATTTGGCAGAACATGCTGGGGAGATCTCTGGCATTTATCAGCAGGCACAAATTTTACGTTGAGAGATACTGTTGGTTTTTTTTAAAAAAAAAAAAAAAAAAAAAAAATTTCACAAGTTGCTGTTTTATTAATAAACTCTGTAGACTCATGCATATAACTTTGTATTGGCAAACAGATCTTGTTGTTTGTTTCAGGTTTTTTTCTAAACGAATTTGTTATTGTGTAACACAGAAAATCCTAGCTAAGAATAGTTCCCAGTTCTTAACATTTAGTATCAGTATGCACTTCCCTTCATCCAAAAATCAGATAAAAATACCTCATTTGGAAAGATGTGCAGATAATGCTGTATGTAGCTATATAGCTTCGATTCTAATAATATTGCATGCTTTAATGTTCAAGCTGAAACATGTTCACTGGTCTGCCTGAAACAGCTGTATGCCATTTAAATCTTAATTGAGCTGCTTTACATGCAGTTGCATAGTGACTCTGAATGATGCCAGTGACCTGAACCAGTTACGAAAGAGTTCCTAGTTGTGCAGGGTAACTCCTCTTTCTGCTTTAGAGGTCACATTGGTCTTTCTATAATTAATGTTTTTGTGTAGCTGATGATTAGTAACCATTAGACAATCTAGAATTGGCTAAGCCGGAAATCCTGCAGCATGGGAATTTACTTTCTCAACATAGATGATATGAAAAGCTTGAAGTTTTGTTTTTTGTTTTTATGCTTTCAGTGTGGTATTAAGAGACATATTGCAATTATAGTTTTTAAAAAATACAGTTGTATAATGGCGCAGTAAACGTCATTCATAAAAAGTTTAAGAACTCTTACCCTCTCATTTTTTTATAGGTGCTATTAAAGCTGTTCAGCTTCCTCCTCAGTATGATATGATTAAAAAAACATAGATATACTTGGTTTCGCTCTTTTGTGTGTTCTGATAAAGTTTTTTTGAGAGATGCTTGTATAGTGCAATGATGGAACTAGA